CGCAGCGCCGCCAGCAGCAGGGGCCGGCAGCGCGGCGGGAGCGGCCGTGCGGGGCGCCGGTTGGGCACCCTCGTGGGCTCGGGAGGGGCGGCCCCGGGGGCGGAAGGAGCTGCGCAGCGCGCTCCCCAGCGCCCCGGCTGCGCGCGCCAGCTCCAGGATAGACTCTGGGCGCCGCGGCCCGGGGAGAGCGTGGTTTCGGGGCGCTGCCTCAGACTGCTCTTGCGCGGGATGCAAACGCATGCACGCGCGCTCTCCTCTCTGCTCGCTCCGTCCCTAAAGTCTCCTCGCGCCTCACCTTCACTGAGTCTACCGGGTACATGACCGAGTGCTCCAGGATCCCGGCCATCGCTCCGGCTGTCATGTGGGTGGATAAGGAGGCGCTGGTCGGCAGGTTCTCATAGTCCTCCGACCCGGCGTCCTTGCAGCCGCCGCCGCCGCCATCTCGGCTGTCCCCATCCATCCTGCGCCTCACAGCCTGGCTCCCCACGCCGCCGCAGCGCAGCTCCATCCGCCAGCTCCGCGGGGCGCGGGAGGCTGCAGGAGGTGGGCAGGGAGGGGGAGGGGACGAAAAACTTCACTTCTTAAAGTGGGAACCACCTCCCTGGTGCAGCGGAGCCTGACGCCATGGCGGGCTGGGGTGGAGCGGAGGGGCCCGAGACACCAATCGCTGGAAAAGAAGAGGCCGTCCGCGGCCGCGCCATTGGTGAGCGGGCCAGCGGGGACCCGCCTCCCTGTGTGACGTCACTGCCCAGTGCAAATTTCCAAGCAACCGGACGGGGGCGAGAGGAGACGTTGGGGTGTCCCGGGAAGTTGTACCGCCTCAGGGTGGTGGTGCCTCCCTTGGGGCAGTCAATGGGGGTGGTCCCTAGGAACGGTCAGCTGGGCCGCCCCGAGGAAATGCTTAGGGATGGAGCAGGAACGCCTTCCTCCCCCCACCTCCTGGCCCCCCCCGGCCCAGCCCAGGCTTTTGCAAACTGTATTGCTCAGCAAGTTTTGGCATTCCTAAGGCCTGGAGGTGGGGGCAGTTACCGCCAATGTCATTTATGGAGCAGTTACGGTGGCTGGATTTGGGTGGGTGTGGGGCGCACGTGGGGATGGAGTGGAGTTGTAGAATTGAGGACATGCTGCGAGATAGCAGTGGTGCACCTCCATTTGTGCAACACGAGATCATATACTGTGGAGGGAACAGTTAAAACTCAAGGTCCTCTGCTAGGCTGCTTTGTCGGGGAGAACACCCATTTATAAGAAATTTTTCCTCTCACTGCGAACACATAATAGCTAAATTCGTTCCTCCTCTTATTCTCACAAAGAGACTAAATTCACCCTGCCTCACAAAGAGACTAAACTCCTCACCAAGATAATAAGTAGTAATCAGGATGGAGCTCTAAGGAGGCACCTCCAGCACGTTTTACTTGGGGCTGATTTGCCTGGAAGGTCTTTAAATCTGGTCCCACAGTAGGGCTGCAAAGTGGCTGAGAGTAACATCTTGCATCCTTGCAACTGCTTGTCTTTTAAGATTGTCTTAGTTCTTAAACTCATCTCTAACTGGCTTAAATAAAGTACAACCCAGGCTGCTTTATTTTAACCTAAATGATACTGTTTTTCTCCATCTGGGGGAAGGGGAAGGAATCAAAAAGTAGAGGAGTGACCTATTTATGGAAGTCTCCATGAAAGCGTGGCATTCGCATGTCTAAATGTATATGTTCCAAGGCTGAAGACTTGGCTCTAGCTGATCGACCTCTACAGCACCAGACACCTTATCCAGTGAAGGCTTCTGGCCAGGAAAGCTGGCCTTGGAGATATGAAAGAGAGGAGCCCCTGAAGGTGCTGCGCCTGCTTTTTGCACTTTCCTTGGTTTCAGGGTTCAGGTCACAGCATCCCAGGCAGCTCTCAGGGATTTGTGATAGGAGTGATGTGAGCATTGTTAATAGGGGCTTTAAGGCCAACGGCACCATTGCCCTATCTTTGGTAGGTGCCAATAGTGTCTCCCAAGATGAGTGCTGAGGATGAGAAAGGCAGAAACAAGCTCTGTGTTTATTTAGTGTTTGCTAGAGAAGAATTTCTCTGCTTTTGCCAAACGTGATTTTTAAGAAACATTTATGAAACTCTGTTGATATTCATTTAAAATCAATACCCTTTAACCAATACATATTAACCCATTGTCCCACTTCTGAGAATGTGACACAAAAGTCTGCATATGCATGAAGTTCTTCTTCAAAGCATTATTTATAGTAATAAATAGTTGGAAACAATCTAAATGTTCAACTAGAGAGGAATGGCTTAAGTAAATTATGACGCATATATTAGTAAAATGTTATGGGGCCATTAAACATTGTGGTAATATCATGCAACATGAGAAATGATTATGATGCCTGTTAGATTGAAAAACAAAACAAGATTCTATAAACATTAAATTTACAAAAATGTAAATATGCACATGAAAAGAGTGAAGTTATTGTGATAGTGACATAGAATTATAGGTAACTTTTTATTATATTTTTCAAACTTAAATAATACTTGTATTATTTCTATAATTTAAAAAATGAAAAGCATGAAAATGTATTATTCTTTTTAGGATCTACTCTCCCAAAGGATGAGAAACCCTCTGAACTTTGCCATGATGATGTTGGTGAAGAGAAGTCACCCTTGGGATGGTTAAGAGGACTCTTAGCAAATGTGAACATGCTCATAATCTTCAGAGACATAAGATTTTTTAAATTTGAGTAAACAAATGTTAATCCAGAATCATTTAGAAAATCTTTGGAATGTTTATCATAAGCAATATTTTTTCTCACCATATATGGTAGATATAGTGGTGTGGCACTCAGCGTCCATCTTAAACTCCTCCACTGCAGTGGCCAGAAAATTTTAAACTACATTTCTCAGACTCCCTTGCAGCTAGGAGTCTAGAGTAAATTAGATTCTGCCAGTTAGATGAACTAGGAAGATCTGGGAGGTGGAAGAGAGAGAGAGAGACTACCTTCCTGCTGCTTTGATGTTTTCTGCTGCCTAGCAAAGTCACAGAA